GACGACCAAAAACAGGACCCGAAAGTCACAAAAAAACTGATCTGAACTAAAAAAAAAAAAGTAGCAGACAAAAATACCAAGGCACTCTGAAATCCCTTAAAATCATGAAATAATTTGCAACCGATTTTACTTCCAAAATGAGTCCTATTCCAGCGCGTGACAGGCTTTTCAACAAGAAAAAAGTAAATTTTGAGTTCATGTTGACGTTACCGCAAGGCATTTCAAAGGAAACCACGGTACACCATCCAGAAATCATGCTTTATATTGGTATTAAGTCTGGTATTACGTATCGTAACGGTCTTAACTGTCACCATAATGGTGGAGCAGATGAAACTTAATGCATGATTCTCCTTGCTGGGTTTCTCACACTCTCGCCGACTGTTCGCTAGCAGGAGTTTGAGCTGAAGCTCTAATAACGTCCCCAGACACACGGAGAGAGACAGACAGACAGGAACCTGCTGAGATCAACACTTCAGCATCTCCCTCTCGGTTTCATCTCACTCCAACTCCACCGAGTGTCACGTCGACTCAAAAGTGACAATAACATCCATCGTATGACCGTGAAAATCAGGATTGCATAGCAGCGCTGAACTTTATCTAGCCTCATTATAGAGATTTATTCCCATTTTAATCTCACTGTGAGGGTCTCGGGCTCCTGACAATGGGAATTATCCCTTGAGAAAGAAAAAAAAACAAAAAAAAGACTAATTTGCACGGATGGAAGTGGGCGGCGGAATAAATTAAAGCAATAAGCCCCAAGAAGCCGTGGTTTACAGTGAATTTATAACAGCTAAGGTGCTTTGTTAGGTATGACGCGAAGCGGAGTGCCTAAAACCCCCTTAGCTGTTATAAATTCACTGTAAACCACGGCTTCACGGGGCTTCACGCCCGCTTCCATCAAGGACCAGAACTATCCGTTTTATAATGAAATGTAATCCGCGATGCAGCCAATGGCAGCGTCCGTGGTTGGCGTATAGATCACGTTCGTTGCGTAAATACACATAAAATGATGTGTGAGGAGTCACAGCACTTTAGTTTACCACCCTCGTCATCTTTGTATGCGAAGCTAAATGCTAATGCTACAATTTCTGCGCAGGCAGCCCGTGACATTAGCGCTGCGACCTATACTAGCATTAGCATGCAAAACACGCCTTCAGAGACTCCCTATACTCCCAAAAAAGCGACCAAGTTTAGCTATCTAACAGATGTTTTTTCTTTAACAAAAACAGAAATATGTACATGAAAAATTAGTTAGCAAGGCTAACGTGCACAACACACAGCTTACTTCTAAAAAATGATTTTTATTTAACAAACGTGCAAATAAACACTCACAAAAAAAGTCTAAAGTGTGTGTGTACCGCTAACGTTTGTGTAAATTGTTCGTAAAACAATTCTGATGAAAGTAGTCGCAACACATTTCAGTAATAAGCCAATGAGAGAAGCTAGTAAAATTTGCTTTATTAGCTTCTTTTACTCAGCATGAAACGCAAGCAGAATGTTTGTGTAAATTGTTCGTTAAAAACCATTTCTAATGAAAATAGTCGCAACAACTTCCACAGAAAAATCCCTTAGCTTGTGTTTCATTAACAAAATGACAGAAGCTAATAAACTTAGCTTCATTAGCTTCTTTTACTGGTGTATTAATGAAACAATCAGAAATTTTGCGTAAATCGTTTGTTAAAAAAAAAAATCATTCTAATGAAAAACTTTGCGACAATTTGCATAAAAAATTCACTTGGCTTGTGTTTTTTTTTTTTAATAAGCCAATAAGAGAAGCTAGCAAAGTTACTGTTGTTAGCTTCTGTTTAATGCTGTATTAATGAAACACAAGCAGAATTGTTCGTTAAAAAACATTTCTAATGAAAATAGTCGCAACAAATTTCCACCGAAAATTCAATTTGCTTGTGTTTCTTTCAAAATTGACAGAAGCTAATAAAATTAGCTTTATTAGCTTCTTTTACTGGTGTATTAATGAAACAATCAGAAAGTTTGCGTTAATCGTTTATTAAAAAAAACATTCTAATTGTCGCAAACAAATTTTCACAAAATTCAATTTGCTTGTGTTTCTATAACAAACAAAAAAATGTCAGAAGCTAATAAAATTAGCTTTATCAGCTTATTTTACTGGTGTATTAATGAAACACAAGCAGAATGTTTGTGTAAATTGTTCGTTAAAAAACATTTCTAATGAAAATAGTCGCAACAAATTTCCACAGAAAATTTTATTTTCTTGTGATTCTTTAACAAAAAATTACGGAAGCTAATAAAATTAGCTTTATTAGCTTCTTTTACTGGTGTATTAATGAAACACAAGCCGAAAATTTGTGCAAACTGTCTGTTAAAAAAACATTCTAACAAAAATTGTCGTATTAACTAAAAATAATTAGCATTTGCATTTTTGAACGCTGTGGCCTACATTAAAATTAACATTCAAAGCGCACCTTACGTTCGCTAAAATGCATAGAAATGTTTCCCCAGGTAAAAATGACTGAAATGCTCTCATTTTACAATCGCAAGTTACTGAACTTAAATATGCAATATTACGAATAATTTACAGAGAAAATCGTTATTGGTAAGTCAGTGAAGGAAGCTAAAAAATTAGCTTTATTAGCTTCTTTTACTGGCGTATTAATGAAACATGAGCAGAACTGAGTTATAAATAGTTCACAAAACCAAAAAAATTTAAAATTGTAGATTTCAATTCAATGAAATATGAATATAATGTTTATTGTTAAATGTATTTAGTTATTAATATTATTAAATTAATGAAAATGTATTATACAAATTACAATAAATAAATTAGCTTTATTAGGTTATTTTACTGATGCATGGGCAGAACGAAGTTATAAGTTGATCGTATATACACACATAAAAAATGTCTTTCGTTAAACACGAACATTTAAAACAAGAAATTGTTAAAAACTAATAGACTGAATTTATGTAAATCATTCATAAAACATGCATAAATTACTTTTTTCATGATTTTATGAACAATTTACAAATAAATTTTTCTCTGTGAAATAATGTTTTTTTATTTATTTAGATATAATCACATCCGACACGTGTGTAATAATTAATTCATTAAAGTTATTACAAAACTATGAGAAACTATGAATAATAATTAGAAATTATTATTATTATTATCTCAAAGTTGGTAATAATTAAAAAATTTACGATTTTTATCCATGCAAATGTTAATCATAGAGGTTCACAATTAACATTAAATCAAACAGTGTAAAAATCTTTATTTTGTTTCATGCTATTATGTGATAATCTACATAATAATAAAATATAATTCAATAGCAACAAATTGTAAATTGAAATAATACACATTTATTATTTTATTATATCAGTAATTTTTTTTTTTAATAATAAATATCATATAAATTATTGTTGTTTTTTATGTACTTTTATTATTTTTATTATTATTACTATTACATTTTAACGTGTTTATAATTTATAAGTATTACACAAATCACATAACATATCACATAACATGAAATAGAAATCAATACTGCACAATACAATTATAAATATATTAATAGAACAATAATGATCAATTGTAAATAAGTTAAATACATACATATATATTTATTATTATTACTTCAGTAATACTTTATGTATTAATATTACTACTACTAATAATAATAATGATAAATAAATAAAAACAATTTTTATAACATTTTGATTTATAGTTCAATTATCATCATTACACTTTTAATGTTTTTATAATGTACTGCAAATTATAACATAAAAACATACAGCACATTGCATAAAGATTTCCCACTACTTGATTTTGTGAACCTCTATGATATGCCACTTATCTCCCGCCATATTATCTGAATGAACATTTGTGCTGTCAGTGACAGGAAGTGATGTAATGGGTGAATAACTCACTCTGTCAAAGGGGATGCTGTATTTCTTCAGGATCGATGGAGAAAGGAGGGTCATCTTGTGACGGAGAAACGCGTCGCAGCCCTGAGAACTTCCTGGGAAAAAGCCTGCAGAAAACGACAAACAGCAAAGAGAGAGAATGAGAAAAATGCCAACGGATGAAACTCTGAAATAAACAGACTGATGATTTTTAGAGGACAAACGGTGCAGGTATAAATAAATTATAATAATGATAATATTTATTTTACTATGTCATAACTGTGATATCATAATAATTATATATATATATTTATATATACATATAATAAATATATATATATATATATATGCATTTAATTTTCATTA